GGCCCACTGAGGCAAGACAAGGATCCCAGTTAGAGGAACTTGATCCACAGAGAGGCAATAGCTTTAGGAACAGCCCCCGCTGCAGTTGTCAGGGGTCCCACATGGAGACTGAGCTGCACATCTGCTACCTATATGTGGGGGGCCTTAGGTCCAGCCCATGTATACTTGTTGACTGGCAGTTTGTCTCTTAGAGCCCCCAAGGGTCCAGGTCAATTGACTCTATTGGGCTTCCTGTGGAGTTCCTATCCCTTCAGGGTCTCTTAATCCTTCCTCCAAATGATCCATAAGTCTCTCTGAGCTCAATCCAATGTTTGGGTGTGGGTCATCTGCATCTGTTTTAAATAGCTTCTTGGTGGTGCCTCTCCGAGGACGGTTATGCTAGGCACCTGTCTGTAAGCATAACAGAGTAGCTAACAACAAGAGTATCACTAATAGTATCAGGGATTGGTGCTTGACCATGGAATGGGTCTCAAATTGAGCCATTTATTGGTTGGCTATTCTCTCAACCTCTGATCTATCTTTGTCCCTATTCATCTTGTAGGCAGGACCTATTTTGGGCTGGAGGTTTTGTGGGGGATTTGCATTCTAGGTCATGCATAGCTACAGGAGATGGCTCCATATCCCCCACCCACTTCTAGGAGTCTCAGTTATTGTTAGCCTAGTCGACTTCCTGAAGTCTAGCTCATTCCGGTTCTCTGGAAATTTCTAGAGATGTTTCCCCCACCTCCAATACCATGATGAATACCATTGATATTTTGATATTTGAGGTTGAATGGTTTGGCATTTGGCAAACACACATGTAACTTATTTAGCCTCAAAATGAAGGTCTGTAATTCCATATCCCTGGGATGGTGCAGTGGGAAAATTGGAAAGTCAAAGACAACCTGAGTGACTTAGTTAGAGTCTATTTCAAAATAAAAGTAACTGACAGGGAATATATAGCTGAGTGTTGGGGAGCTTCCCTAGCATGCCTGAGACTTTGGCTTTAACCTTTAGTACCAAGAAATAAACAGAAACAATACAAAATATAAACAGAACAACGAAAGCTACTCAGTTAAAAAAAAACAATGACACCACAAAACGAAAAACATTTAAGAGAAATGTATTGAAATTTTGAGAAAGAAAAAGACATCGGGATGGGTATGGCCCTCATACCTCACTGGACAACGACAGGGGGACCAGAGCCATTACAAAGTCCCCTTCAATTACTGGAGGTCAGGCCTCTATCCCCGCCTTCGCAAGATTAGATTTGCCATAGCCCTTCTATACTTAGAGAAGGGAGGAGATGTCAGGGGCAGCCCTGCTTATGCACTGAAGGCCTAAAATTAGCCATAGGCCTAAAATCAGCAATAGGCCTGCCATACATGTATACTAACACCAAGTCTTGAGTCTCTGTGGAAAAACATTGAAACAGATGGCTATAAGCTATTGTAAACAGGCAGCTTTTGTGGAAATTTACCAGCCTGAGTTGTCACAGACCTTGTAAATAGGTAGCCTTGGCCGATAATACCAACTTAGATAAGGATAAGTGAATCACAGGCAGAGTCATAGTGACCTGTCCCCTGAACCTTCACCCAGCCGATACCCTGTTCTGAAAGATATCTGTATTCCCCCTAACCTCCCACGCTCCAGTGTCATCCCATTCCCCACGTCCTGCCTTTTTGTGTTTATAAGCCCTGTGTGAATAAATAAAACTTATGATTTGAAAAAAAACAAATAAACAAACAAGCAAAATTCAAAATAAAGAGGCAAACATATGCCGGGCAGTGGTGGCGCACGCTTTTAATCCCAGCACTTGGGAGGCAGAGGCAGGAAGATTTCTGAGTTCGAGGCCAGCCTGGTATACAGAGTGAGTTCCAGGAGAGCCAGGGCTACATAGAGAAACCCTGTCTCGAAAAACCATTAAAAAAAATGAGGCAAACACACAAATACTCACACACACACACACACACACACACACACACAAAGAAATTTTGAGAGTATATTTTAACCTATTCAAAATATCTGTCATCAAGGGAATAAAAATATGGATCATGGTAAGTGAAATGACTGTGGCTCAGATGAACATGCATTTAAAAATATATTTTTTTTTATAAATGAAAGTAGAAGCAGCATCTAGAAAATCACCAGTGGATATAGAAAAGGAGAATTAAGTGGGCAGCCACTGGAATGAATGTGATTACTATATGCTATAAGAGTTCAATGAACATACACTTAAGATAGATGTGGAGCTATGGTTTAGTAGCTAAAAGCACTTCTTTCTTTTCCCTTCTATCCCTTTATTTTTATTGGATATTTTATTTACATTTCAAATGTATGCCCTTCCCCAGTTTCCTCTCTGGAGACCCCCTATCCCATCCTCCCTCCCCCAACCCATCCACCCAATCCCACCTCACCACCCTGGCATTCCCTACACTGGGGTATCGAGCCTTCACAGGACGAGCACTTCTTGATCTTTGAGAAGACAGGTCTAGTTTTATGTGTTTTAGCTCCAGGAGTTCAATGTCTCTTTTGACATCCTTTTGTTCCTGAACACACATGGTACACTGACATATACTCAGACACACACATAAAATTCGTTATTTTTTTTTTAAAAATTAAAGACTTTTTGCTTTAATATTTCCATTTTAGTAGGCTTTTCTAAATTTCAAATAAAATGTAAATTCATTGGATATATATATGTTCAATAAATACTTGTATGAATGATAGTATTTTTAAGTACTCTATTCTAAGAGTTGATTATCTGTGCCTTTTATCCTTTATTGATCTTTCTACTATGTTATGAATTAGTTTATTTGGAATAATTAGCCTCATTGTTCTTGACTCTGAGTGTCAGAATAAAAATATCTTTAAAATTTAAATTTGTTTTCTTTCTTTAACTTTAATGTGTGATACTTTGTTATTTGATAAGAATTTTATATTTTACACACACACACATCTCTCAAAGTATGATTGTCACTGTATTCCATGATTTTTATATATTGTTTATGCTTCTATTAGGATACAAACTAAAATAATTTTAAAGCTTCCACTGTGATTATTCCTTTTTAAACATTTATTGATTGATTGATTGATTTAAATATTTTTTTTGTTCATGTTTGGGAATACTTGTGGATGTCAAAACTTACCGGAGTTATTATTCTCCTTTTACCACAGGGATTTTGGGTTTGGAACTCATGCCCTCTTGTTTGACAAGAAGCTTCTTTATGTGCTGAGCCATCTCACACACCTCCATTGTGCTTCTTTTTGAAACACATTTCACACAAGTAGTGTTACTGAATTGGTAAAATTTAAGTGAAATTTATGCCCTTAGTTTTAGCATCAGAATATGCCCAGGCTTTACATCCAGTGATGATGTCATCCATAAGTGACAATGACCATCCTGTATCTGTTACCATGACAACCACTACATTACTCCCTGTACAGGCTTCACCTGTATCACCTGTGCGACTCACCACTTGTGTTACCTGTGTCACGGACAAGATAGAAGACAGGGACCCCAACCCATGTTTCTCTTTTCTCTTGCTCTCTTCTTCCCCTCTTTCAATAAAGAGATCTGTGAAGTAGAATCTTGTGAGCATGGCACAGTTAATGCAGTCATGATCCCAAGGCTTCCTGCCATGGCCCCTGCACAAAAACTAGTCAACAGTAAATCACAGATCAGAGATTTCCTATGTACTTCTACGACTTCTTGCTGAACTGTGAGCTACTGATGAAAATAAAAACAAATATACATACAAAACAAAAATACAAAAATGTACAAAGAGCCTCATGTGTGTGTATGTGTGTGTGTCTGGGAAAAGGTATAATAGTAGTGGGAGGAAAATATGAAATCACAGACAAAAGATGCAATCAACAATTGTTAAAGGATACATTTAATAAAAATACGGTGATGTAAAAGTGTTAAGTGTTGATAGTTAAATACAATACAATGAGCATCTTTTTTTTTAAAAAAAAGATGCCAAAAACAACACATATGTATGCAAGGTATGTGGACAGATATGAGTTATACTTACCTTAAATCATAGGATTTCAGAAAAACAAGTATGTGTTTTTTCTTAGATAATTTTTGTTATACTAACCTCTTTAACTTATTAGGATATATATACAGATTGATTTTAATTATTAGTCCATGAAATATTAGGACATGATATTCAAGAAATTATAGTTTTCATGTCTATTTAGTAATAAACTAAAATTCAAAGTATTGTAAACATGTATACATACAGTTTTATTCAGCAAATGACACACTATATCAATATATAATATGAAATATTACATACATCATATTATCAAGGGCATATACTATTTACCTAACTGGCCTTGGCAGTTATGATATTTCATTATATAATATAGAATCATAATCATACAAATAATTTTTGAACTGAGAAAATTACATTAAAATATTATAAACAAATTGTCTTTTCTGTTAAGGAATGATATAAAAACTTCAGAATTCATACGAATTGTTAATACTTGAAAACTGACAGAGATTAGGTCAATATGAGGGAACTAGCATTATGATTGGATTTCTTTTGCATATTTATTTCTAAGAGGAAGTAGACTTCACAAATATCTTCAGTATCTTCAGTGGCAAAAATAGAATCAGGATTGGTAGTTTGGCATATAATGCCATATTTTAAAGGACAGTAATATTAAAAAAGAAATTCAAGGATGATTTTTTAAAATTCTGATTAAATTGAATTTCACAATGTTGAGAACACATAAAATGTATAGTAACATGATCATTATCTTTGGAACATTACTAACATCTGCCAATCATCAATATATACAGGTATACTATGCAGAGTTATTATTCATTCTAAGTGATAAAACTACAATTATTATAACTTTGAATGTATTTTTATAATGGTTATTTTCATAACCATATACTAATTATAATTCATAGATTCTCAAAATGAGTCATAATATAATTTAGCTTCCACTAAAAATGTGGATAAAATGGTGTATAAAAAATAAATTCCAATTATGTAAGATGTTCACATGTGTTTTATCAGTTTCTTTATGGCATTCTTAATATCTTTATTTCTCAGTGTATAGATAGCTGGATTCAGGAGAGGTGTGATGACTGAGTAAAATACAGCAAGAAACTTGTCAACCCAAGTGACGCTGACTGGCCACAGATAGATGAAAATGACTGGCCCAAAGAACAGCAGAACCACTATGATATGGGATGTGCATGTAGATAGTGCCTTTGATGAGCCATCTTTAGAGTGAAGCTGAACAGTTAATAGAATGTAAGTATAAGATACGAGCAAGAGGATGAAACAAGTTGTTGCTAAAACACCACTGTCAGCATTTATTAGGATTCCCAGCGTATCAGTATTCATGCAGGCTAATTTCATCACCAAAGGAATATCACAGAAAAAGCTGTCTATCACTCTAGGTCCACAGAAAGGTAGATCCAAAACCAGGATAAGTTGACTCATGGCATGTATAAAACCAATGATCCATGATATCAGAACAAGCCAGATGCATTTCTGTCTGTCCATGATGCTGCTGTAGTGGAGTGGCCTGCAAATGGCCACATATCTGTCATAGGCCATTGTTACAAGAAGTACCATCTCACCTCCTCCAAAGAAGTGCACACAGAGGATCTGGCTCATGCAGCCCCCAAAGGAAATGGTTTTATTATCTTTTAGGAGGTCAGTTATCAGTTTTGGGGTGGTTACTGAGGAAAGGCAGAAGTCAATAAATGATAGATTAGCTAACAGAAAGTACATGGGAGAATGGAGATGATGATCAATGATGATCAATATCACAACAAAGAGGTTGCCTAACACAGCCATCAGGTAGAGGGTGGAAAATGGCAGGAGGAGGAAGATCTGTAGTTCCTTTGAAGCACATAGTCCCTGAAGAATAAACTCAGACACCACAGTCCTGTTTGCTTCTTCCATTTGCTACAAGGTGTTCTAATAGGTTGAGAGACACAGAGCTGAACTAACAATTCCTGAAATAGAAACAATAACTTAATGTTTGGTCATATAAACATACAAAAAATACAAATTATGTCTTAGCATTATATTCACTCAAGTTCAAGATAATTTTCCTATGTTGCTCTACTTTTTCTAATGAGAGAATGTTCCTAAATTCAGGAAAATAAATATCTGAAAGACAGTATGAATAGGTATGGAAATGAATATATCATTTAAAACACTAATAGGAAAGATTTTCTTTGTGTTTTACAACACTTAAAACTACTTGTTCTATATGGAATCAGAAATAATTTTCTTCAATGAATATGTTAGTTAATATTAGAGCCTGTATATTTGACAATCATAATCTCTGAATGATAATCTATTGACGTATTTCAGTCATAAGCACAAAATTCCCAGGAACAAATCTATTTTTGACTAAGTCTATATGGACAAAATTTAATAAAGTCTATTAAAATGAGTGACAAAAAATGGTTCATCAAATAATTTGAGAACCCTCATGTTAAAATTCATTGTTAGCGTTATGCCTTTCCTTAAACTATGGACTTAGCCATTTGGGTATATCTCTGAACAGCTATATACTTCCAGACATGAGGGATGCTATTTAATTCTAAATGATAAGATATCATATACTAGTTTAAATAAATTATTCATAAATCCTATTTACATTTATGTCTCATTTCTTCTTTTTCTTTTTTCTTTCTTTAACATTTTCCCTCCATTTAGTTCTCATAAATTACTTTTCCTTTTCTTAATTTCTGTACTTTTTAATACTACATTTAAGTTTAAAATTGCAATACTAAAATGTCATAAAATTAGGGGATATTTTGCAATTTCTGTGTTAAGAATTTTAAAAAACATTTTATTTTATTAATAATAATATATATTTATTTCCTGTGTCAATCTACTCTTAAAGTAGTAAAACTGTAATTCAAAATGAGAACTGTCTGACTCCAAGTCTCCAATATCACTTCCAGATTATGAAATAAATGTTATAATAGGAATCTTGTTTTTCAGTAGTTCAAGAAAATTAATGACATTTGTAAAACAAGGTACTTGGGCATTTAAATATATGTACAAATAAATATAAATGACCAATTTCATTAATAAAAATTATCAGGTTTACATAAAAGATAACTTCATTGTATTCAAAATCAAGCAGATGTAACCCTTTGAATATGAATGGCATTTCACAAGTATTTTTTTCTCATTATAGAATTCTTAGAGAACTACGATTATTCTAGACACAGCTACTCTCATCTCCCTCCCATGTCTAGTAACTACTTTACTATATTGTCTGTATCTTGAGAAAGTAGTGCATCTAATAATACAAAGATCGTCAGACAACAGAATAAGTTTAGTGGCCTGTGATTATGATATTTGTTCAAGTTGAGAAACTTGGAACTTTTAAGCTTATAGTAAGAGATCATTAGATGTGAGTATATAAACTACTTTAACTATTCAAAGTCTTAAGGATTAGTTGGAAGGGAAACTTTCTACCATACATTTGTCAAAGAAAACAATTAAATACAAATTCAAGACTCACTGTAAAATCATCAATAAAGTAATAAAATAATGTGCAACCTAAAACAAACAAACAAACAAACCTTAAATGAGTAATTGTGATGAAAAATTAAAGCACGATTAGTTTGTGATGAATTAAAATCACCTTATAAGGTGATTTTGTAAGAATCACCTTATAAAACGCTTCCTTCCTTTTGGATGATGTTTCCTGTAATTCTCCTGTAATTGTGGTTTCTACGTTGAACAGTTGTGCTGAGTATTTTTTCTCAGTGTGGCTTATATACACTGACAACAGTCATTTTTGCCTGGAACGTTTCCCATTCTGCACATTAAATAGAATCATGTAGTTGGAAAGCCTTCTGCTTTCCTATTCCTTTGGGATCCCTAGTCCACACCATCTCTTGATAAGACAAATAAGAGAGGTTAACAATAAAAAACATTATTCCTTTCATTATATAAATATTTTGAAATTTATGAGTAAATATTTTATATACGTTATAACAACTTACAAGTTAAAAGATGAATCACATGGGACCTTGAGATGCCATAACAGGTAAAATCACTTCTTGCCAAATCTGATGACCTGAGTTAATTTTTGAGGTCCACAGGTGGAGCAATGTAATCAACTCATTCAGGTGTCTTCTGATGTCCACACATGTGTTGTTACATAAATGTGTGTACATATATGGACAACTCTAGTCAGGACACATGAACCCACCTTACATTGAATCAACGTAATAATTATTTGAAAAAGATATTTAGTCATCCTGATATGTCCTTAGAAACTATGGGAGTATTCACAGAGTTTTGTTTATTGCCTTGCTTGTTCTTTGACTATTTGTGTTTATTGTCTTGCTTCTTTCTTGACTATTTGCATCTATTGTATTGCTAGTTCCTCAACCTAGAACTGACCTTAATACATGCTTGCAATTAATATGGTATAAAAGCAAAACGGAGGGGGGGATTAGATAGGGGGTTTCTAGGGAGGAGAAATGGGGAAAAGGAATGGCATCTGAAATGTAAATAAATAAAATTTCCAAAAAAGTGGGAAATATGTTGTTTGTAGCTTTACAGTTCACCTATCTGTTTAGACAGTTACTTCTCCACCTAGAAATGCTAACAGAGAATTTTTTTTCTTTTTTCATACTTTATTTTCAACTGCTAACACACTTAATGAATTGGGCAAATGATCTTATTTTAGATTGCATAATTTCTCTTTATTTTAAAGTTCATTTTATTATATGTACTTAAGGTAAACAACAACATCATTTTTTAATAGAAAAACATATAGTGAGATTGCATATTACTAATTTATATAGACAATGTGTACTAAGAGCATTTAAAAATCTTTCAATTCTTTATCACATAATTCTATTTCATTATACATGATTTTCATTTCAAAAAATTTTTAACTAATCTATTTTAGTGTTTTTATTTTGCAGTTTTTAAAAAAGAAATACTATTATATATGAAAGATAGCTTTTTAACAAAGTAATTACACACCCAAATATTTTCATAATCATTTATTTTATGTCTACTATTGTTAAAAGTATACTTATCAACTACACTCAATCACATTTTTGCTACCATTGTAATAACCTCCGAACCCTCACATATAATGCTCCATGCTCTCATTCAATTCAATGGCCTCTCGTTTTATTAATTGTTATTGCATTCATATATACATATTTCTGGAGAGGAATTTTAATCCAGCAATATGGACACTCAGATCACATTCAAAGACCTTCTAGGTCCATGTGATCTGGCTGGGATGCAGCCATACCCTTAATATACACATTTAATATTTTAGGCTATAATCCTTTAGAACATATCTTTAATTGCAAAAACATGGTGTCTAACTGAGGAGCAGAGAAATTGTCTCTTCACAGCAATAAAACACAAACTAAGTTCCGTTCTTCACAGTTCGAACTTAGTTGACAGGAATTCAAGGAATCTTCAGAGACATAATATTTTAAAGTAGTGTGTTATATTAGGTATTAGAAATTACTTTTGTGTTAATTAACCTTTTCTATACATTAACTTGGATACATTCTATTTTTTAATTGGAAAAATAAAATATGCCCTATTCAAGATAAAGCAACTCATAATGAGAAGAATAAATCATCATTTTCATTTAATTCTTATTAGCTTAGTCTGGTAAGTGAAGAAGTGGGTAATTTCATTTCATACATTAAGTTTCCTAGAAGGTATAAGACTTGAAGTGTTTTGAAAAAGTAATTTGTATGTTTCTCTATATTTTGGAAAATTGTCATTGTTTAAATTTCACAACTTTGTGGCACATTCTAAATGAGACATACATCCTGTATTGTGCTCTGCTACTCATTGTCGATTTCTCTAAATTTCGTGTTGTCCATTTTGTATTATTCTACCACATACTTTCCATATCCACTACTTTTCAGGAAGTTTGCTGTTAATTCAAGGATTAGCCATCTGGAAATTGAAAGTTTCATGACTCTGAGATATCTTTACTCTCATGTTATTCATGGCTTCAAATATTTTAGAAAATGTAGATTTTGAGAGAATGTATACATCATATATGTTTTGAACTCATGTTCCATATCTAATAGATCATAGACTTTTTACATTTACTCCAATCATGTTATTACTATATGTAATATCTCTCTTTTGCCTTAATTTTAGAGGCAGTTATGCAATTTGGAAATTAATAACTGGAATTTTGTTACTATCTTTCAAAAATTGACTGAATTAAACTCTTGGCCTTGACAATAAACTTAGTGTGTAGTTCCAAAACGCTGCTCGTTTTCACTTTTTTTTTTATGTTTAACATATTCAGTTAGGAAACAGTAATTCATATGTGACTCATATTCAGTAATTCATTTACTTACACTTTGAAAGAGTATCTTGTTTTTATCAAACACTTTACAATATGCTGCCGAATTTCAAAGCTTTAAGGATACACTCAAGGATTATGTAGGACAGTGACTTTGGCAACCCTGACCTTTAGGAATTGTAGTTTACAACAACAACAACAACAACAACAGCAACACAGCAAGGCAAAAATTACCCAAATAAAGCAATATGAGCCACAGTCTCTGTGAGTTCATAATATATCAGGTCTGTTGTGTCTAGAACAGACACTGTTTCCTTGGTGCCATCCATGTCTTTGCTTCTTACAGTCATTTTGCCTCATCTTCCACATAAATTCCCAAGCCATGAAGAAAGGAGGTTGATGAAGACATTGCATTAAATCTGAGTGTTTCAATTTTTCTACAATTCTATGAACTGTCTAGATGAGCTTCCCTGTGATTACTCCCATCTACTTTAAGAGGAAGCTTCTCTAATGATGGCTGAGCAAGGCACGGATCTCTAGGTATTAGAACAAAACTGAGAAAGGCTTTTCTGTAACCAAGGCTGGCCTGCAACACATTATTTATCCCAGAATGACCTTAAATTCAAGA